GACAGCTGTGGTCCACCCGATCCCTAAAAAAGGCGACCGCTTAGACCCGTCCAACTATAGGCCTATCGCTATCACCTTGTTCTCCAAAATAATGGAATCCATTATAAACTGCTAGCTCATGAGGTACCTTGAGGATCACCAGCTGATTAGTGACCGCCAGTACGGTTTTCGTCGGGGTCGATCAGCTGGTAATCTTCTGGTCTACCTGACTCATAGATGGGCGGAGGCAGTAGAGTCCAAGAGGGAGGCATTGGCCGTCAGTTTGGACATAGCGAAGCCTTCGATCAGGTCTGGCACAAAGCGCTTCTTTCGAAGTTTCCTTCCTATGGGCTTCCCGAGAAATTATGCTATTGGATCACCAGTTTCCTTGCAGATCGGAGCATCAAGGTCATAAGTAGTAGACGGTGCATGCTCTGATTTCAAGCCTATCAACGCTGGTGTTCCACAAGGCTGCGTGCTATCACCAACGCTGTTTCTCCTGCATATCAATGATATGTTGCAAGCTGGTAGCATTCATTGCTATGCGGACGACAGCACTGGTGATGCCTTATATACCGGCCGTGCCAATATTTCTCGGGAAAACGTGGCCGAGTACCGGGACAAACTTGTGTCTGAGGTCGAGTCTTCGCTAAACAAAGTCTTGGATTGGGGGCGACTAAATCTAGTACAGTTCAATCCCCAGAAGACACAAGTTTGCGCGTTTACCGCTAAAAGAACCCCTTTGTCGTATCTCCTCAGTTTCAAGGCCCTCCCCTTGCTGCCTCAGCTAGCATCGGAATCCTCGTCGTCAACATATCGAATAGTGTACAGTTTCGTGGTCACTTGGAAGGGAAGGCCAAATTGGCCTCTAAAAAGCTTGGCGTGCTCAGCAGAGCGAGACAGTATTTCATGCCGGCACACCGCTTGCAACTTTACAAAGCGCAAGTTCAGCCTCAAATGGAATACTGTTCTCATCTCTGGGCCGGGGCACCCCAGTGTCAGCTCCTTCCACTTGACGGCATCTAGCGCAGAGCGGTTCGAATCGTCGACGACCGAGTTCTTTCTGATCGGCTCGATACACTGGCACTGCGTAGGGATGTTGCATCGCTGTGCATTTTCTATCGAATTTATCACGGGAAGTGCTCTGAGGAATTGTTCGGATTGATTCCAGCCGCCAAAATTCGCGAACGCACATCGCGTCAAAATTCACGATACCATCCTCACCATCTGGATGCTTGGCGGTCCATGACTGTACGTTTTACTAGGAGTTTTCTTCTTCGTACAACTTCTCTGTGGAATTGTTTACCCCCGGTGACTTTTCCGGACCGATACGACTTAGGGACCTTCAAGAAAAGAGCTTACACTTTTTTTAACTTTCTAAAAGGCCTGCAACGCATCTGCAATTTCCCTGGTGTTGCGGTTGTTCATGGGCGGCAGTAGTCACTTACCATGAGGTGAACCACATGCTCGTTTGCCCCCACTTCTATAAAAAAATGGTAATATGGTCACCTTAAACTTTGGCGCCATATAAAATCAAACCTAGGAGGAGTACAGAGACAAATACACAATGTCGTATACTATAACTGATATATAAAAAAAATAGCAAACAAGCCCTGGCAATAATGAGTAACATTTCGAAAAATGAACTTAAAAAAGTGTAGTGAGTTTTTTTAAGTTCATTTAAGTTCATTCACGCAATACTAAAATCGACTAAAACATTTACTATACTATCAACTTTTAAAATGGCATCGATGAAGCGGCGCCGTTTCGACCCTTTATTATTTGAATAACTGGTGAAGAGCTATCGTATCACAAAGCCATCTATGCAAATAAGGCTGTAGTTTTTGAGTTTTTTTTTTATAGGATAGGGTGACAAACGAGCACACAGTGCACCTGATGGTAAGTGTTTGCTGTGGCCCATAGACAGCTACATCTATCCTCAATAAAGAATCAAAATGCAGGTGCGTTGTTACCCGTGAGGACTAAGATGGATTGCCTCTTATCCGGTAAAAAGGGTCTCCGGTTCTCTACACTCACCATACGAAACACAGCAGTGTTAAGTTGCTATTTTACGCTGGAATTCTGTAAAAGCGTGGTCCTTCCCCGGTCGAGCCGACCAATTCTTGCTACAACTATACTACTAATGTAGCTGCAGCATGGCTCTACCACGTATAACGTTATACGAAAGTGACTATATTAACCGGATGACCGTATTACCCTCGTACTATGAATAAGGAGAAAAGAGCCTTTTTCTTTTTAAAACACATTGGTATTTACAATAATTTACTTCTTTTTGTATATAATATTATTGGGTATTTATTAATTTAACATTTTAATGTTTTAAATTTAATAATTAGGAATATTAAGGAGTAAACTATTATATTTATAATGTTATACCTATTCTCACTATGATCATCAGCTCATGACCAATGCGTGTTTTTGGAGTGTTTTAACAGGTTCCCTATCCGCAAATTAAGTTATTTTTAATTCTACTGCCAAAATGAATTAATATTTATAGTTGTTTCAGATTTCTTGCAAGCTGCATAAAAATAAAATCATTGTATGACACCGAGGCCCACGCTTCTGTACTCTACAGTAGTGTTTTTGTTGACCCCAGTTGGATGGACGCCAGGAGAAAGCTCTTGTTAGCATAATACTATTCACCTTGTTGCATAATTTTATTCGTCGATGTTATTTTCAGGTATTACGGAAATATTTTATTTCTTGAATTCGTTTTATTTATGAGTATTTTATAAGCAAAATTTTTGTTATAAGCACCTGGATATAGAGCTTCTCAAAGGAAGAAATCAAGAAAACAATACCTGTAAACTAGATAGATTACCTACCGAATAAGATTTGTAAATCTTCTATCGCTAAATTTGTTATATGCACCTGGATATAGAGCTTCTCAGAGGAAGAAATCAAGTAAACGATACCTGTAAAAAATTTTTGTCGGTAATCTATCGTTAAAAAAAATCTCATAATGTTTTTTACCTATAATTCATATAAGTATGCAATGTATGCCTTTAAGGCAGTGCTGTAAGAAGTGATATACTTAGACGTAGGTCATACTGGAATTTCTTTGGGATCTGACGTTGATAAGGATTGGAGAAGTCTGGCCTTAAAGATGCTGGCTCAATAGTGAGAATGAAGATCAGTCAGGTCACACGAATTAAAAAGTACGCTGAGACCTGAGAGTTGTAAAACACATGGTCTTTTTTATCGTTATGGGAGGCGGGCGAGTCATGTCAGGCTTCATCCGACTGAAACGCCACGGTTGTCTCCCTCGGCTTTGAAGCCGATGAGAGCTCACGGATCTTTCATACAAGACGCGAAATCTTCCCTTCACTGCTATGCTGTTAATTCAGCTCGTCCAGAGGCTGTTACCGAACCCTGCAGCCCGCGCGAAACTGCTCTAACTTTAAAATAGCATAATTACTCTTGCACTGATGACAGCCATGTTGTAATCAGATTTAAAGATAGAAGTTGGAAAAATTTTGTCCCATGTTGGACTGAGTCTCATTGGTCCCATGTTTATGTCAAGTTTACTTAAAACAAAAAAGAATGTGCCAACTGTGTTACTTGCCTATTATGTCCTAATAGGTAACTATTGGGATATTGGTTTTGCGATTGTGTAGACGTCAAGCTAGCCATTCATTATTTCGTTCACTATTTTTCATCTATATATCTAGCTTTAGATAGCAAAAACCGGATTAAAATAATGAGAATAAACTTCAGCGCTTTTGGTATATTTTCTTCGAAAAATATTTTCTTTTAGCCAAGTGTTCGCACACGAATACGGAATATGACCTGACGTGGCCACGCACTAAACCTATGCACTAGACCAAGCCAAGTAATTGATTACGATTTTGATTGTATTGTCCCGTCTATCGGTCGTAAATATTTAAATGTCATTGCTAGAAATGAACGCAGCGCTCCTATCTTATGTTATCTTTGTTGTTCTTAGATTGCCGTATAAATAACACTTGAAGCAATCACTTGATTCATTCAACATACAATTCCATTGCATCACTAACAGGAAACAATACGTTTTTTATTTATTCTTATCATTTGAATTATGTTCACCAACCCGCCTACGCCTCCCCAGCCCGGTGAACAATAAATATGTGTAAATACGTACTTTGACAAATTGTGAAAAGTCCTATATCTAGCAGAGTTTCTAAAGGCTGTCAAAGAAAACGTGGTTTTCATAGAAATGCAGTCAAATAACTGTAACTGAAATGTAGGTTAGGATTTATTTATCGGATAAAATTAGAAATTCTAGCGGTTTATTAATATTCCCTCCGCTGCTCGTCTTAATTACCTATGCGATGTACTTAAATGAAGCTGTATATTGCTGTAATAGTCATTTATGTGAAACTGTTTATTAAACGTTTGATTGTTATACATGCTAGTAACTACTTTTCCTTATATATAAAGGTACTCTGTGTAACTACTCTGAGCTATTGACATAAATCTAAATGGCATCCATCGTGTGCCAAAATCACGCGGGAAATTTTTACAGGCTGTGTCAAACGTTTGCGAAACGCGTACAGAGTAAATTATACTTTTTGGACTGTGTATAAAGGATTTATCTAGATAAGATAAGGTGCTACAATACCAAATTGCAGGAAAAAAATTATTTTTACATAACACATGAAAATAAGAAGCTGTTCCCCATTTTTGTTTTGTACGTGGTAGAGCCATGCTGCAGCTCTGTTAGTAGTATAGTTGTAGCACGAATGGGTCGGCTCGACCGGGGAAGGACCACGCTCTCACAGTATACCAGCGTAAAATAGCAGTTTAACATTGCTGTGTTTCGTATGGTGAGTGTAGAGAACCGGAGACCCTTTTTACTGGAAAAGAGGCATTCCATCTTAGTCCTCTCACGTGTGACAACGCATTTGCATTTTGATTCGCAAACGAGGATAGATGTAGATGTCTGTGTCTGTGTGTGCCCGTTTGTCACCCTATATTATAAAAAATACTATATCTAATGACAAAATAATAAAATTACTTACATTTAATAAGGAATAGTACGCCTCGTCAATGATTTTGATGTCTTCAACTACTATCCTTTGCACGCAGTCGTATCTGTATTCTTCTAAAGCTAAAATTCCGTCGTTATTGAGATCAATCAGTCTGAAATTTGATTCAATAAATGCTCTCATTGCTTGCGGAAAATCTTCGTATCGGCGGCCTACACAGCAATTCATAACCGCCTGTTTGAATTCGTCCACTGTTACTATACCATCCTAAAAAGTAAACTAGCATTTAAATAAAGATGGCTGACAGTGTAACATCACAAAAAAGCGCGAAGCGTGATTAAGCGTAACATATATACAAAAGCGCTTTATTACTTTTAATCAAAACAAAACATGCAACATTTTATTCAGTGTGATAAAGTAAAGTCTGTGTAGGTCATTATTGGCTGCAAACGTTCGAACGCCACAATTTGTGTCATGTATAAATTGGTAATTTTGTGATATCAATGCTACCAACTCCCCTGCTAAATGTGGCGATATCTGCCACCATACAACGGGAGAGAGCTATGATCTGAAGTGGACGCTTAAGTGTTGCCAAGAAAAAGATTATATTATATCACGAGTTGAATATACCATAACCAAAATAAAAAGTAATAACGATCTCTAGACAAAATGTCAGTCACCAGGCCAGTCTCGACGGAGACTAGCGTGCAGCCTTGCAGGTGCACGGTGCACTTTATTTTCGCTAAATCTCATAGTCCGATGAGACGGTTATCCGACACGACCGGAGAGAGATCAGACGCAGGGAAAACGGCTTTACTAAGCACGGGGGTAAACACACACCAACTTCCTGACTCATTGTACTAAGTATTTCTTGAAAGAAAAACTAAATATCCGATTTTTGCCCGTCCCTGGATTTGAACCCGGGACCATATTTTACGGCCACTAGATCAACAAAGCAGCCTAGAAAGTATCTTTGAGCTATACCTAACGTTTATAAACATGGAACAGACACCAACGATACATCTACAGACAAATTTGCAGGCGTATCTACGTCTAAAGGGATACAAGTTTTGAAACTATGATTGATTTGATATTTAAACTGCAATTGTTTTGTGACTTTGATGACACCGTCATCTACAGCCTATTAAATCCCAACAAATTGCCGCATAAGGTGATAAATGCCATCCACTCTCAGCAAGCGGGTTGACATGACAACCGCAGTTTTTTTTTTTACTTGTTATAAGGAAGACTCTGCTCTGCCCACCTTCTGGTTTGGTTCCGTCTGTCGCCTCTTACGACACCCACGGGACGGTATAGGGTAACGCTATTATTTATCCTGTGGTAATGGTAGTCTAACACCGCCAGTACACGGTATTACGACAACGTATAGTCTACTGCAAAAATTAAGAGATTGACTTGTCATAATGATTTCTTACATATTTTTTTTATAGAAATAGGGTGACAAGCGAGCACACATTCCAAATGATGGTTCGTGGTTGCTGTGGCCCATAGACATCTACATTTATCGTCAATAAAGAATCAAAAGGCAAATGCGTCGGCACCCGTGAGGACTAAGATGGAATGTCTCTTTTTCAGTAAAATGGGTCTCCGGTTCTCTACACTCATCATATGAAACACAAGCAGTGTCAAGCCGCCATTTTATCCTGGTAGAATACTAATGAGAGAGTGGTCCTTCCCCGGTCAAGCCGACCCATTCGTGCTACAACTACGTGGAAGAGCCATGCTGCAGCTATATTAGTAGTATAGTTGTAGCACGAATGGGTCGGCTCAACCGGGGAAGGACCACGCTCTCACAGAATACCAGCGTCAAACAGCAGCTTAATTTTGCTGTGTTTCGTATGGTGAGTGTAGAGAACCGGAAACCCTTTTTACTGGAAAAGAGGTATTCCATCTTAGTCCTTACGGGTGACAACGCATCTGCATTTTGATTCGCAAACGAGGATAAATGTAGATGTCTATGGGCCACAGCAACCACTTACCATCAGGTGGACTGTGTGCTCGTTTGTCATACTATCCTATAACAAAAACAAACTATACTATAAATATAGCTGCAGCTTGGCTCTACCACGTAAAATTATATTAAAATTATATATATTTACGCGAATATTACACGTTTTATGTTATTACGTGTTTATACGTGTGCCGTCGCATAACATATTTAGACATCAACATTATGTTGTAAATAGCTCAAAATATATAATATAATACAACCTCACATCATATTTAACACGTTCATAGCCAAACCAAAAGTATTCGTTTTCTATAGTTGGCCTGTTATTGCCTTCAAGTTTACGTGATTCAAATAACCACGCGCCTTTCCTATAGTTAATTTTTTTCAATACTTTCTCCAGAGCTCAGAGTTCCCTAAGAAAACATTTGTCATTATATGAAATTAAATTAAATTCAACAAAGCCTTGTATCCCTTTAGAAGGCGGCGGAGCGTTGCATACAGTGCAGAATAATGTAAGGGTTTGATAACCGACATAGTCTGGCACCTTGTCGAAGTCAGCCAGCTGGGCGATTTCTTCCCAGAGGCTGAGCATGATGTGCTGGTACTTCTGCAGGCGAGCTTTGCTGCACTCGCCCTTTCCTTCCAGCACACATGACCGCAGCGCCAAGCAGTGGAAGTCGTGCGCGTCTAAGTAACCATTGCAGTCGATATCTGTAAAAAGTTTACAATTGCCGTAATTACGTAGTACTATTATTTATTCTGTGATTTAGTCTAGATTATACTTAGCGATTAGGCGAGGATCGGAATAGACCACAGAGTACCTTACATACACTGAAAGAGTATAATAAATATGATGTTTTAATTAATTGTAAAACTTTAATTAAGAATTCATGTTGTTTGATATTAGTTATTATTATCAATAATTTGATAAGCTTTATATATTATTGAAATGTTGTTTGCAAAGCTATTTGACAATGCTAATTTAAAAGAAATGTGTATAGGTATTTCCTTTATAAAGTCCAAGAGTGAAGCGTCAGCTGAACGAACACATTGCTCGTAAATTGTAACCTTTGGTGACTTCAGCAACATGGTTACTATGTCAAGGGTTACTAATACAGTCAATATTCTAATTTCGTTGTCGAACGGGGAACACAGCTGTTAACTTGGCAGGGACGTTGTCTGAACTAATTGCGTACTCGTTTTAATAATCGTTGCACGTCGTTTCATTGGAAAAACGTTATTACATATTAGATACATATTAGATATTCATTTATTTCATTCCAGCATTCTCCAACTTAGACGTTCACTTTATAATAAATTCTTTTTTTTTATAAGTGGACTGTTATTTAGCTGATACTTGCGACTTCGTCCGCGTTGCTTGATATATTAACAAAGTATTCGTATGTGCGAAGGAAAAAACATCAAAAAGATCGCAAGCAAAAATATACTTTGCTTACAATATTTATTTGTAAACATTGTTATTCGTTGCTCCGTTTGTAGATAAAATATATAAATTATCTGGGTTAGGAACGCGAGAGCAAGCGACGTACAGTAATGACCGTGTGAAAAACCCCCGTATAAAAATCGTTGTTTCTTAAAACTTTAATAACTTTATATTAAACGAAGATATCGCAATTTTTTTTGATAAGGGCCAAGTGTTTATGAAATAAACTTACAAAACCTAATTGAAATCTATCCATTACTTTTTCCGTGATACGCGCGCATCTGCAAACCTCTATGATTTTATTTATATGGATTCTTTAGGTGAAAACTTATAAATCACCTTCATGTTTTGTTAAAATTATATTATATTCTAAATGAATTATGAGTTTTCTAAGCAAATAAATGTAAATAAAATAAAATACATCTAAGATCCAATTAAACTTATAGGCTAGATTATAGGCCTAGGTTCTCGTACAGGGCACAGATGGAAATCCGGGCGTGTTTGGACGGGGAAATTACAGCTCGTAAAATATTTGGAATTTATTGAGAAAAGTCTACAAAAATGGGAGAAAGGGGTGGTCTTACGCGTTTCGATCGTGGCTACTACGCGTATAGAAAATCCTTTTCGAAAAGCAAACGTCAAATTCCACAGACTTGTGATTTTTTTTTAAAAAATGCTGCCATCACATACTGTATTTCTCACATATCGTAGTATCGTTTTGTAAATTCATTTTTAAAACATACAAATATACAAATATAGAGGATTGTACTCGTATCAGGATTTGAACCCGCGGTTCGTAGCACCACTGCGCTCACTAAGCTGCCAAATTGGGAGCACATATGCGTGGCAGTAGTGATGATAATTAACGGTGTAGTGGCAGTGTAGGAATATCCACTACCCCATATCGTCCTGAAGGTGTTGTAAGTGGCGACAGAGGGAAAATTAAACAGGGGAAAAAACGAAAAATGCCAACCCGCTTGTCAAGCGTGGCAACTGTGACAAAATCCCTTCACGAGGCAATCTGTGAGGGAGGTCTACGTTCAGCAGTTGACTTTTGTAGGCTGCAATGGATGCACGGATGAGTGGTAATAATTAAAAGTCATTGCCACTCATCGACACGGGTCAAGTCCAATTTAACTCTGGCAGCCGCGACGCCAGTCACTGGCATCGTAACCGAACGTGATTTAACTGTATGTCGCAATTGTCTGTCCAACGCACATTTGGCTGCCCACATCGCGAAAACAATACATCGTATTAGTTTGTTGTAGATCTGTGCCAAAGTCTACGGGGATAGATAATTAAACTCCTCTAGAAGTCTAAAACGAACGGGTCGAGGTGACACGCAAGAGATACTAGAGGTACCTAAATTTAGATTGGCTAAAACAAGGAAATGCTTTCTGAAATGCATAGAATTTATATAGAAATGAGACAGATATCAACATCATCATTTTTTTTATAGGATAGGGTGACAAACGAGCACACAGTCCTCTTGATGGTTGCTGTGACCCATAGACATCTATATTTATCCTCGTTTGCGAATCAAAATGCAGATGCGTTGGCACCCGTGAGGAGTAACATGGAATGCCTCTTTTCTAGTAAAAAGGGTCTCCGGTTCTCTACACTCACCATACGAAACACAGCAGTGTTAAGCTGCTATTTTACGCTGGTATTCATGTTCATTACAGCTCTTCACAAGTCCACTGCTGAACATAGGCCTCCCCCAAGGAATGCGACAAAGCACGGCCCTGAGCCACCTGCATCCATCGACTTCCTGCATGTCTTACCAGGTCGTCACTGCATCTAGTGGGGGACGCCCTACACTTCGTCCGCCGGTACGAGGCAGCCACTCGAGAATTTTTTCCCCATCGGTTGACGGTTCTTCGAGCTATATGGCCGGCCCATTGCCACTTCAGCTTCCTAATCCTTTGGGCTATGTCGGTAACTCTGGTTCTACTATGGATATCCTCATTTCTAAGTTTATCATGCAGAGAAACCGCGAGCATAGTCCTCTCCATAACTCGCTGAGCGACCTTGAGCTTCCTCATACGCCAGCAGTGAAGGACCACGTTTCAGTTCCATCACTGGCAGCACGCACTGGTTGTACAGTCTAGTTTTTAAGTTTTGAGATATATCTGACGAGAAGATACGCCGTAATTTCCCGAACGCTGCCCAGCCGAGTTGAATCCGTCGATTGTCGTCGTCTCTCGGTCGGAGTTGGACTTACCTAGTCGGACTGTTTGTCCCAGGTAAACATACTCGTCAACAACTTTAAGCTTAGTGTCCCCAACAATTACCGGCATAGGTGTGACATGGACGTTACACGTGACTTTTGTTTTGTCCATGTTCATCTTAAGACCTGTCCGTTGGGAGGCACTATTGAGGTCATTGAGCATAGTGCTTATATCCTCCAGTGATTCTGCCATAAGTACTATATCGTCGGCAAATATAAGGTTAGTGATGTACTTGCCATTGACGTTAATACTGTATACTTTCCAGTCCAGTAGCTAGAAAACGTCTTCTAATGCAGCGGTGAAGAGTTTCGGGAAAATAACGTCACCCTGTCTTACACCTCTCTGCAGTTGGATAGGTTTCGTGCCTATGGTTCTGTACTTGGATAGCCATCGTAGCCCTACTGTACAAGCACTTCAGCACTTCGATATACCGACAGTCAACTTGGCATCGTTGAAGGGACTGCAACGCCGCCCAAATTTCGACGGAATCAAAGGCTTTCTCATAGTCCATATACGCCAGACATAGTGGCAAATTGTACTCCTCGGACTTCTGTACAATTTGCCGAAGGGTATGTATGTGGTCTACGGTAAAGAGACAGATATAGAGATAATTAATACTTTATTTAAATAAGCGATATTTCATGGCTGTTAATCTCTAAAAATATAGTGTAGATAACAGACTCAAATTTTTAAAATTTATTAGGGAATTAGGTTAAAAAAAAAACCTATAATTTTATAGACCGATATTTTGAGGATAATGAAAGTGTAAATAAATCTAACTCTGCAAAACTCACATGTCCCTTGACTACTGACATATTGTTACAATTGACTTTAATTTTTTATTTCGTTTCATTTCGATTACATTCGATTACATAGTTTAACAAATAAATACCTATTTCAGTTGACCCTGAAGTATAACTAAGTATAACCGTACGAGTCCGTGACTAAAGAAAAAAAACACTTCCTTAATTGTGTCTAATAATATTCAGTCTATCTTGGAACGATGACAATTTGTAATTTTTTAACGGGAACGATTTTTATTTTAGTCGCATCGTTAAAGCGGTGGTAGTTTAGGATAGGGCCTCACCGTTAACTACCTACCTAACTAACCTGACTGTTAGGGAATGAGCTGTTGCCGTTAAATTCCATATTACACAAGCATACGGCTTCGATCCCCACTGGTATCAGTGAAATTGTTCATTTCAGTTGTACAATGTGTACCTATGAAGTAAAAGAACATATTTGAGAGAACTTATTATATAATATTCGAGGGCACGTGAACTCCGATAACACGCACTAGGGAAGTGCTGCGGATTTTTCCCTGCACCAGAAACACTTTAAGGAATAAGAGGAAGTCCGTGCCCAACAAGAGCCGTATTTGTGCAGTCACTATCTGTTATCTACTTCAAAAATCATCGATGAACCTATTAAAAACTCATAAGGGATTTAAGCATTTCATGTAAACATATTCTACGAAAGTGTGAGGTTAATCAATTCGAAATGTCCTAAACTTTCAAACAATTAAACCTGTTTTTATCAACATTAATGTATTATGTGTAAGAAAAAGCATTCAAAATTAATCTTTTATTTCACTGCTACCGTGTGTGAACTGCAGACATGTTTTTTTTATTAGCTTTAGATTTTAACGTGTTTTGGTAATTAATAAAAGTAAATTGATTATTCAAAACATTACATAAGCGGTTGAGGTGTGCACTTTTGGATTTCCAAATTTCTTTAATATTTTTATTTATCGGAAAATACCTCTGTCCTGGCGAAAATCAGAAAGAAACCCAGCGAGAATATATTTTTTTAAACATTTAGGCTTACAATATTTTCTTTGCAATTTTTATATGAATTTTAATGGAACCAGCATCGTGGTGATCACCTCATTGTGGTTATTTTCATTTATTTATTCCTTGATATTATAATAACCCTTTTTCTTTAATAAAACTTTTAAACTTGTTTACTAACTAATTCTGTGGAGCACAGAGTTCACAGAATACCAGCGTAAAATGATAGCTTAATGCTGCTGTGTTTAGTATGGTGAGTGTAGAGAACCGGAGACCCATTTTACTGGAAAAGAGGCATTCCATCTTAGTCCTCATAGGTGACAACGCATCTGCATTTTGATTCGCAAACGAAGATAGATGTAGATGTCTATGGGTCACAGCAACCACTTACCATCAGGTGGAATGCGTGCTCGTTTGTCACCTTTATTCTATAAAAAAAAAAGTCTAGTAGGCACGCGTGGACAGCTTTGCAACAATATTACGCAAAATAATAGCCTCCCTGATGCGTCGCGTGCGAGACAGCACTAACAGCCTCCTAGCTTCCATATATGGAAGGCAAGATTACCCTGTGATGAGGCACTGGAATACAGTGCATATGGGTTTCAGGCCCAATATGTTTAACAATAAATGATAATTTTGGTAATGTATAATAATTTGTATTATGTAAATTTACTAACCCCTAGTTTTAAGTGTACTAATAAAGTAGGTGTAATTACCTGAATAATGAATAAATAATAATTTACATCGTCATAATTAATTGACTGCAGTTTGAATTTGAAAATTAAAGAGGTATCATCAGCAAATAATACTATATCGCGTTGCCTATAAGATAAGGTAAATCATTAATATACATTAAGAACAAGAATGGGCCAAGAATCGAGCCCTGAGGAACGCCCATTAATACTATCGACCCGAAAAAACCTTTACTATTGATAACATGCTATGTGGCATCCCTTGAGGGAAGCCTATGTTCAGCGGTGGAGTTGTAAAGGGCTGTTAGGATGATGATGATGATAATGAAGTCTGAGACATAAGTACATTATACTTCAATGTTTAGTAATAGAATTTTCCCACCCGTTCCCACTTAAACAAATATCCGTTTACTAAACCGAACCCGAAAATCAACGACTAACTTTTTGCACGACAGTTGGTCTCGGCTGGGTATGAACCCAGGAGTTGCCTTCATTATTCAGGGCCTTGTAGCCACTCTCAATACAAATACTGCTGTAATTATGTATATAATATGTAAATAAATTTATGTTAAGACTGTATTTGTACTAATTCAAATTATATTTACATTTTCTGGTTATACCATAGTGAATTAAAAAAAAATCAATAAAATAGCAGTTTTATTTTCATAACTTATATTTGTAATTCTAAAGAAAAATAGGTTACATTATGATTCTTGTATTAAATTATAATTATGTATGTGAATTTCAAAAACCGTGGAAATTCCCTAAGTGTTTAATTTTGCTAAATTATAACGGGACGAAATGTTAAATAGCAGCTTCAAATTATGAACTTTATACTGTTCATTTATACTAGAAGTAATTAGGTAAAATTTTATATAACTAATTAGTTCAGGTTGATAAAAAATGTACCTTATTAACTGATATCTAGACCTAGTTACTAGTTCAAAAATACTAGTTCAGAAATAAAAAATACAGTGGTAAATTACTTTAATTTACCCACTGTATTTTTTATTTGTGAAAAATCGAGCTTCAATTTATAACGAATAATTTCTATATTACTTACCGTATAAATATCTAACAACGAATGCAACTCGATTATCCCATGAAGAAGCCATTGACGCACCGACACAAAATATCCGATTTTCGATATATAATCAGAAGATGAGTGAGACGAGCGGCCAAAACGCGGCGGCGTTCACGCGGATTTACTGATGACTGTGGGCGCCCTGAGAAATCGATCGAGGTATTTTTGACTATTTCTAAGATCGACAAAAACTATCATACAAATATGATTTAGACATATATTTGAATTAGAAGATAAACATTACTAATCCATTGACCACCAAGAAAATGTATATAAAAAGTTAAAAATGTAATTATGTGTTTCTAATTAATAGATTTTAATGTTCGGAAATGGCAGAACAACGTCTGCCTGGTCAGCTAGTTATAATATATATTATTATTATTATTATATTAATGTTATGCGGTTGTCAAACTACCTGCCAAGCTTGTAAACTATGGCATAATCCAGGGGAGCTTGATGAGGCAATATATGAGGAGCCCTAAGTGTACGGCGGGACCGTACTATCCCTATAATATCTATAGATGGATAATAAGCAGAAAGTTCTTATTTTCTGCCGACTTCCAAAAAGGAGACGGTACTCAATTCGACTGTATGTTTTTTTTATGTGTGTTACCTCATAGTTTTTACTGGGTGCTCCGATTTCGACGATTCTTTTTTATTTGAAAGCTGGTGCTTCTCGTGTGGTCCCATATGAATTTGATCAAGGTCAGACCAAAACTTTTTGTGTTATTCTTAATAACTTATATTGAAGTCGGCTGTACAAAATTTTTAATTTTAAATTATAATAATCAATATATATAACGTTATGTATCTAGTAATATTAGCCATGAATTATTCAGACTAAAATGCCATCAGTATGCCTCAATATAATGAGTATCAATTATTTAAATATTTTAATTTATTTGCTAACGCTGTTTTAATGGTATTTCGAGATTTTCTATTTTCATCTCTAAATCACCCGCGCAGCTCCGCCCCTAACATGATATAAAACAACAATATACTCGTAGTGAAGCGCATTCGCGGGCTACGTCATCTGACGACACGCGTTTAAATATATCTCCTCAACGTAGCATAAATTTCGGTCTTTTTTGTGGTTAGATTAAATGTAAAGGAGGGCCGAGGACTTCATCACCGCTCACCACCAGGTGGTATTGTAGACAAGTACTGGCTTATAATAAGTAAAAATATATTTTGTCATAAAAATATAATGTTTAACAATTTAACATTGTTCTGTAATAACTCTATATTTAAGCATACCATTTCTATGCAGCAGAAAGAGTGCTGCTGAGAGAATGGACCCTGAGGAACTTCGACATGTAGCTTCGGATTAGTAACAGAAAAGACAGAGATAGCAACCGACGAAAGTCAAAAAACCATCCAAAAATCCGAATTTCACAGAGTAATGTTGCTCCTGTATTTATCAGTGCGCTCGCCATCGGTTGTGAGAGATCTCTTTCATGCAATACTTCGCACATTACACATTTATGGCAAGATTTAGCAGTGGAATTTAAAAAAGTTAGTAATAATGATTGGTGAAATAAAAATGGCTTGGTTAAGGCAAAGTCACGCAAAGTAGTTAAATATTACTAAAGTAAATTGATCAAAACTGATTACAAAAATATCTAAGGATAATTCATTATCAATAAGTAACGTAATTTTTAAATACATATTAGGATAATAATTTTTCCAAAGAAAAAAATACAGTCATACTTCTGTTTTCTGGATAATTAAGTTAGGTCTTAATAGGGTATGGATTTTAGGGATAATATAAATTAATAATAACTAATTGCGCGTTGTCACCAGGACTTTTTAATAAATTTGCTACCATTCAGTTACGAAAAAATCAATTTAAATATGTACCTCATTTTGGCGCATACATGGCAAAAGTTTCCGTTCCGCGCATAAGTATATCTTTCCACTAAAGACACGGTCACCCACACTCTTACGTATTTGGTGGCAAATAGCAGCGCTTGTATAATTACAGGCTATAAGGCATTTCTCCTTGATTCTCGGAGGTGACAACGCATCTGTAGCCTTCTTTGTCAAAGTTGTAGGTTGCAGGTGTCCATTTGCTGCAGACCCAGCTACTATCCATATGTCAGGTGGATTGTAAGTTCATTTGAAAAAAATCTACATAAAAGGAATATCTTAAAAACCTTACTACAACAACAACAACTAAAAGATTAATAAAAAACCGCGTTAAAGAACACATAGCTGATGGGAAGGCTGCAATCTGTGAACTCGTACAGGACCGTCCCCGTTACTACATCAGATTTGATAAACCACAAATTCTCGCTAAAGAACGCCGATTCCTTCCAAGGATGATTCGCGACGCTATTGAAATAGAGAAGATGGCTGGGTGCTACCATCTGCTTGGGATTTTATAATTAATAAAATTAATCCCAACCCAAGCATACAACTGCAAGACTTCAAGATACTATAAGTTCATAGACTGGAACAAAAATCAATAATTTTAATCTGGAGGTAGCCGTGGTTAATAACTATGACATTGTGACGTCGAACACCTCAGTCGCCCCCGTGACCATGGGTGCTGTAAAGTGCTCGAAATGTCGGGAATATAAAATAAGTTAATATACGCGATAAAATCCGTAAAAACTAGTTTTTATTTAAACCTTACAATAACTTTATCAAACTGCTCAGTCAATAATATCAACTAATAAAATAACTCGTAAACTGTTTCAAACTTCCCGCGCGCTCCCCTCTTCTACACAAGTCATGACCTCGTAGTCTTATTATGTAACGTCAACACTTGGCAGATTGCTTTGCTGAGCTATACTGCTGTCATAAAAAAGGAGTTGAGTTGAGCGATTAGTCTTCTCTCTCGCACGCGTGGGCTTTTTACCGGGCTTTCGAGAAGACGATCGCTCCCTTTCTAACCTGTGGCAAAATGTTCTATTGTGAAATATAACTACGATTGATTATATAGAAATTAGTATCTCCATACTAATTTCTATATTCTATATAATTTCTATATATTTTTGGCTCCCCAAAAGCCCGGCTTTTGGTGTGAAGTTAGTCGAGCGCGGGGACGCCCGGGCGATACGTTTGCAACTTCATTTCACATTTCAATGTTTACTCTGCGTGTTTACTTGAGCGAAATAATATTTCGAGTTGAAAATTTATGCTTTTTTAAAAAAAAATTGTGAAAATGGATGATAATAGTGTTTCCTTATGATGAATTGAAGTGTGCTAATCGGCTAGGTAAAGGAAAAATCTTTAAACTTTGGTGAGAAAAAACAGCTGATATCTATATAAACAGTTATTGGTACAAATAAAACGTTCACCAACATTTTACGCGGACGTAATTACATCTTTCTTTAAGAAAGAGAGACGATTCGATTTAGAATATAAATCATTTGTTTTTTTTTTAATTTTGTACATAATTTGTTTGTACTTTGTTCATGCTTTTCTTTTGTTCATGTATTATATTGTATGTAAATATCTTTTTCTTTCACTACAGCAAACCCAAACGGCTTTTTTCGAAGCCACCGAAGGTATGCACATAGTCATACAATCTATCTAGCAGTAGTATGCCTTCTGTGTGCTTTGTTAAACACGTCCTCGACATCACTGAATATGAAACTGAAGAGTGGAGACAGATCAAGATTGGTGTATTTTTATAAAACTGCTAAAAATAACAAAACCATATCTTAGGCTTGCCCTAGTTTGGAGCCCTAGCTTCGCCACTGCTACAAAGATAATAAGGCCAAACCTAGTGCAGTGGGCTGTTGACTCCTTTAAACCATATAAGACAAGTGGGGAGGATGAAATAATGTCCATCAATGTACAGAGGGGTATCGATATCCTTCTTCCTTATCTGGTGAAAATTTTCAGAGCAAGTTTTGCATGAGGATATATTCTACAACGATGGACAATTATTAAAGTTCTATTTATACCTAAGGCTGATAGAAATGACGAAGCTTTTCCTTTAGACCTTTCTTCATTTCTTCGTAAGACATTGGAAAAGGTTATAAATAGATATATTAGGGATATAGCTCTAGCTACGAGACCTATACACTACAACCAGCATGCTTACCGCAAAGGCAAATCTACGGAACTACGAAAAAGCGTTGGATGATAAAGAAATAGCTCATTGTGCCTTTCTAGACATTGAGGGCGCCTTTGACAGTAGCCCTACATTACACTTGCTTGGGGGCCTGACATCTAAATATGTTGACCTCACAACCATCAGATGGGTGAAGTCTATGCTCTCAAACAGAAAGGTAAAACAGAGCTGTTTCAAACTTTGATTGAGATTGCAACTACAAGAGGCTGTCCACAAGGTGGTGTTTTGTCACCCCTCCTTTGGACTCTTGCGGTTGCCCAATTATTGTACAAGATAGTAGACCTTCGCATTGATACACTGGGTTATGCTGATGATCTGGTGATCATCGCGAGGGGTCTTTTGGCAAAGTACTTTATCATTAATCATGCAAAGAGCCCTAAACACCATAAACAACTGGTACAGGGATAACAGTTTATCAGGTCATCATTATCATTATTACATCCCTCCACAAGTCCACTGCTGAACATAGGCCTCCCCTAAGGAATACCACAAAGCACGGTCCCGAGCCACCTGCATCCATTGACTTCCTGCATGTCTTACAAGGTCGTCACTCCATCTCGTGGGGGGTCGCCCTACACTTCGCCTACCGGTACAAGGCTGCCACCCAAGAACCCTTCTTCCCCATTGGTTGTTGGTTCTTCGAGTTATATGGCCGGCTCATTGCCACTTCAGCATACTAATTCTTTGGGCTATGTCGGTTACTCTGGTTCTACTGCGGATAACCTCGTTTTAGTCTATCACACAGAGAAACTCCGAGCATAGCCCTCTCAATAGCTCGATGAGCGACTTTGAGCTTTCTCATATGGCCAACAGTGAAGGACCACGTCTCAGTTCTCGTTAGGTATACGTGGTAGAGCCATGTTGCAGCTATATTATAGTTGTAGCACGAATGGGTCGGCTCGACCGGGGAAGGACCACGCTCTCACAGAATGCCAGCATGAAATAGCAGCTTGACGCTGTTGTGTTTCGTATGGTGAGTGTAGATAACCGGCGACCCTTTTTACTGGAAACGAGGCATTCCATCTTAGTCCTCACGGGTGACAACGCACCTGCATTTTGATTCGTAATCGAAGATAGATGTAGATGTCTATGGGTCACAGCAACCACTTACCATCAGGTGGACTGTGTGCTCGTTTGTCACCCTTATTCTATAAAAAAAAAAGTTCCATAGATCATCACTGGCAACACGCACTGGTTGAACAATCTAGTTTTGAGGTTTTGAGGTATGTCTAACGAGAAGATGTGTCGTGATCTCCCGAACGCTGCCCAGAGCAGCAGAGTTAAAGCCGTCGATTGACCTCTCGGTCGAAGTTGGACTATTTGTCCCAGGTAAACATATTCGTCAACAACTTCGAGCTTAGTGCTCCCAACAACTACCGGCATAGGTGTGACATGGACATTAAACATGATCTTTGTTTTGTCCATGTTCATCTTAAGACCTATCCGTTAGGAGACACTATTGAGGTCATTGAGTATAGTGCTTAGGTTCTCCAGCGATTCTGCCATAAGGACTGTATCGTCGGCAAATGAAAGATTAGTGATGTACTCGCCATTGATGTTAATACCGTATCCTTTCCAGTCCAATAGCTTGAAAACGTCTTCCAATGCAGCAGTGAAGAATTTCGGGGATATTACGTCACCCTGTCTTACACCTCTATAGTTGCATAGGTTTCGTGCTCTGGTTCTGTACTCGGATAGCCATCGTAGCCCTATTTTACAAATACTTCAGCACTATGATATACCGACAGTCCACTTGGCACCGCTGCAGGAACTGCAGCACCACCTAAATTAAAGCGAGACGATTCGTAATGGCTCTCGAAAACAGCAAGTATACGCGGCTGAGAAGGGAAATCGGTCTGTAGTTCTTCAAGAGAGCGTTGTCGCCTTACTTGAAGAACAAGACCGCCGCACTTCTGCTCCACGCCTCTGGAGTAGTACCTCCATGAAGGACAGTATTAAAGAGCTTTTGAAGGACTTTAATTACCGGTTTACCACCCGCTTTCGGAATATCCACTGTAATTCCATCCTCGCCTAGGGACTTGCCGTTTTTAAGGTGTTGGGGAGCCATTCTAATCTCGCTCAGACTGACGTCCGGGATATCATGGGAATAGTGTCGGATAAGACTTGCTCTTGGATCGTTACTCACACTTGCTTGTGGCTTCAACGATGACGTGTACAGCTGCCCATAGAACCTCTCGATCTCACTCAAAATCTCAGGTGTCCCGAAAACGACGCTGCCACACTCGGTCTTCAGTTTCGACAGTTGGCACTTTCTGACAAATCTCACAGACAAATCTCTGGCAAAGAGATTTGTCTGTGAGATTGTGAGATTTGTCTCATGGCTGTTAGACGGGAGAATTGATTGAATTAACTAACACTGAACAGTTGTTGTCTGGTCGTCATAATGAAGTCATTCTCATTTTTTGTCGAACCATCGGGGCTCGACCAGGTCCACTTCCTGTGGGGCCGCTTCAGGAAGAAAGAGTTCATCAAATCTTTCTTTCTCCATGAAGTCGGCCAGCTGCTGGCCCCTTGGGTTTCGTTGCCCTAATCCAAATTTCCCTACTTTCAGCTCACCGTTCTCTCTTGTGCCTAGTTTTGCGTTAAAGTTTCCCAATAACACCGTATAGTGGGTTATTCTCCACTGTAGTTAAGTACTTGGTCGTAACAATCGACCAAAAATTAACGTGGAACTCTCACCTTAGCAATGTATTTCATAAGGCTAAAATTTCTTTAGGTACGTACAGTCGCATGTTCGGGAACAACTGGGCCTTACGTCCCAGTATGATCCTATGGCTGTAGAGCAATATAGTAAGGCCGATTATTACCTACGCCTCCACTGTCTGGTGTAATAAGGCCAACTAAAAAATAAGACTGCGGACAGACTAAATAGTCTACAAAGGACTGCCTGCTTAATGGCAACTGGAGCGATGCTATCATCGTCTGGAGCAGCTCTAAATGCACTTCTAGGCCTAACGCCCCTTGATCTTTACTTAAACAAGGAGTCGAAGGCTAGTTAGTAGTATAGGATTAACGTTCAGGTCGGTTTGAGCTTGCTTTCATATAGCTCGACTCAATCAAGGAAACACCGGTCTTATGCATGATCGCAGATATCATGCGTTCACTATATACTTTTAACAAAAGGTATACAGTGGAACTACCCTCCAGAGAAGACAGTCTAAATATACAGGTAATCTGTGAGGTCGGTAGCCTTATATGGTATACCGATGGGTCAAAATGGGCCTCAACGTAGGCAATTTGTGGGGAAATAACCAAATTCAAACTTAGTATCAATTTGGGCAGATTAACCTCTATATTCCAGGCAGAAATTTTCGCCATACTTCAGTGTGCGGAAATCAATCTGCAAAAACACTACATTAACCATATAATCTATATTAACTCTGATAGGCAAGCAGCACTGTTAACGCTGAGATCAAACTTAGTGAACTCGCAGCTAGTTGGAGACTATGTGAACCATCTAAACGTTCTGAGAGGTTACAACAAGGTCGTTTTAAGATGGGTACCGGGTCACGCGGGTATTGTAGGCATTGAAACTGCCGACCAGCTCGCACGGGAGGGCTCAATGAGTACACAATTTGGACCCGAACCATTTTGTGGAATCTCAAAAAGCCTCACCCGATTGACCCTGGAAACTCTTTACCATAATAAATCACTTATTATCTGGTCTGATACACCAGCCTTAAAACGTTCTAAAACCTTAATCCGGGTTTTCGAACGTAAATTCGCTTTGGAAGCCCTGGGACTAGGTAAAATAAATTGTGCATACTGGTAAGAGCCCTGACTGGACACCGTTGTCTTAAAAAGCACATGTCCATCTTGGGACTAAGCAACTCAAGTATGTGCCGGTTTTGCTCCCTAGAGGAGGAAACGCCTGTACACATCCTGACTAATTGCGGACCCTTAATGCGCAAACGCACCACTCATCTGGGAAACGATGTACTTCGCCCAGAAGAAGTGAAATTACTCACAGCTAAGCAACTCCTTCTATTCATTGAGGACGTAGGGCTTAGCAGTGAACTGTTACGGATATAGCAGTGATCACAATAGATCTTTTAGGTCGCAGTGATACTGTTCTCTCTAAACCTGCATAGCTGCTCGTACATTATAAATAATAGGGTGATAAACGAGCGCTCAACTCAATTGATGGAAAATAGCAATTGGATTACGTCGCCCATACACACATAGGTACGTATATCCTCGATTAAGAATCAAAATACAAATACTCAGTAGATGGAATGCCTAGGTATCATCAAAAAAGTGTATTCGGTTCTGATCACTTAACATTCTCCATATATTCTATATATTATGAAACAGCATTATTACGCAACTATTTCATGTTGACATTCTTTGAGAACGTGGTCTTTCCTAAAAAAAAAATATTAGAAACTACCTACTCCTACGTCCACACTTAACAATATTCTATATTTTAACAGAATTTTCAGAGGAATTTATTTTATACAATTACTTCACACTGAATATGGTTACAAAATATGTTTAATTTTTGAATATAAATATTTTAACCGAAATCCCTTTATAAGGGACCTTTATAAGGAAATGAATGCCTCACAGACCAAAACGCCCTTCTTATATCCCGCAAGAGAGCGTCTCGATATGTGAGTAGCGTCGTAAGGCGATGCCGCGCGCTGATTGGTCGGCGACATCGCGTGATCTGCTGCCGGTGTGCGGGGTGCGCGGGGCGCAACGGGGTATGAAGGGGCGACGGGGCGGCAGCCTCCTTCGCCGTCCGCTACACCCTTCCCAATTCCACTGCTGAGCATAGGCCTCTCTAAAAGAACACGATCCTAAGCCATCTACATCCTGCATGTTTTATCAGGTCGTCACTCCATCTTGTGGAAGGCCGACTCCGACCGATACTTTGCTTATCGGTGTAAGGATGCCAAACCAATCGAGAAACATAAGTATGGATGGATGGCCCACCCATTGCCACTTCAGTGTTCAGTTGGGCTATGTAAGGTGCTCCGGTACAACTGCAGATATTTTATTACAAATTCTATTACGCAGAAAAATTGCGAAAAATCTTTATAACTCGCTGACCTTACGTTTCTTTATACGGCCAATAGTGATGAAATTCGCGCGCTAGAAGTGAAACCATTTAGTTTATGATTTGTGATTATGCACTAACACTTTGTCTTCAGGTGAGTATACGTCTTGATAAATTCATTCTGCTCAATTTGTGACGACATAGTTTACAATAAACCCTCAAATTGCATTATGCAAATTTCAAATATATACTCTGTTTTAACTTTTCATTAAATTACTTAAAAGCTCTTATCAGTTCTTACTTCTGAGTTTTAATGTCAATAGATTGACAGTTAAGCTCATAAGGGCTAGAACCCAGAGCTGTAAAGCTACTTATAAAAAAAATGACAGTGACAGTTGTTACTGTCAGCCTGACAAGTGTGTGGTGTGTAGTTCATTTTTAATAATAAACAAGAATATTTAACAATTTCTTGTGACCAGTACAATGTATATTCGCAAAAGAAATATATTGTTGTTGACATTTATAATAGTGCTAAGTATGTACACATATTAGAACTGTATATTTTTTATATTATTTACTTATTGCTTTCATTATCACTTGAAAATAACCATGTCTTACATTCCTTAATTTACGTTTATTTAGAAATACCATGTTAAAAGCCACGTTTGGAAGCGAAAACAAACCATTTCGAGAATAATACAAAAAATAAACTTATTTATTTCTTAGTCACAATAGTCCTATAATTATTACTTACTTACTCACAAAACACTTATTAATCCATATTTTGGCCTTGATGGGGTTGTCGGCTTTGCCAATAAGAGTTGAGATTTAACTGGATGCCATTTTCCACATGTAGCAGTTTATTAAATTATAGATAGAGGAATGTACCATGTTATTCAGTTTATTTATTGTTTGTTTTACTAAATGTAATTAAAACTACTAGAAAAGTTAAATTTTGAGCTTTATATATATAGGCTATTGTCTTACTATTGTGTCTGCAAACTAGATAGTGAGTGTTAAATAAAACATTAAGTAATTCAGAGAAATAGTAATATAATTTATAATAACTCAAAATTTTAAAAGACAGTTCCAATTTAAACTTCAATGTTAACTTTTTTATATATTTTAACCCATATTTATTTTAAGGTTTACCAGCTTTGGCAACACAATTTGATGTTGATGAAGAAACAAATGAAGTAATTGAGAAAGAAGAAGAACCAGACATTCCTAATGTAGATGAATCAGAATCTTTGCTTTCGAATGTTGTCTCAGATGTAAACAAAACTTTGACAAACTTCTACAACCATGTAACATCAGCAAACATCACGGCAGAGAATCGGACGCAGAGTGGTAACGAAACCCGTAAACTTGTTAAATGCAAGGAGATTGTATATGAAGGAACCGAGGACATAGAAGTGGAGATCATAAATGGAACACATTTAGCAAAGCTCTTACAAATCAAGCCAGATATTACAAGTCGTGATGTGGAGGCTGATTGTATTCTTGTCTTATTTTTTGCAAGAGCCTGCCCTTTCAGTGCTCATGCAGCACCTCACTTCAATGCTCTTGCTAGAGCTTATCCCAATATTAAATTAGTAGCGCTTGATGCTTTAAAGTATCATGGAATTAATGCTCAATATGGGATAGTTGGTGTACCAACACTAAAAATGTTTCATAATGGCAGGCCAGTTGGTAAATTTAATGGGACAGAGTACAACATCCAATCTTTTAGCAAATTTGTTCATGCAATCACTGGCCAGTATCCACTAGAGCTTTTAGTCACATCCAAAGATTTCCAAGGACCAGTTTCAAGTGTGGTTGAAAAGGACACAGATTATTTCCTGGTACTGTCTTGGTTGTTTATAATAGTATGTTCTATATACTACTTCATGCAATCAAAGTGGTGGAAGATGATAGTTGAAATGGTGCAGAATAACTGGAGAGAATCTGAAGCCCAACATGAACATAATGATTAGTAATGTCACTGAACTTAATAATTTTATTCATAAAGTTTCGGATTCTAGCTATTCAAAGGGACGGTCCCTTTGTACACCTAGTGGACATGCAAAAGAGCATGTGTGTAGGTCTAATCATTTTTGAGTTTTGGGGGTGTGGGTGTTTGAAAGTAGCTCGAAATGGTTTAAGATAAGACTGTTAAATAAATTATATTGTTTTATAATGTTATGTTTTTGTGGAATATCTTACATACTTCTTTGGCAAATTTTGTAGCCTTGTAGGCTTAATGGATTTTAACATATGGGGTGTCAAAAATTTGTGTAAGTTGTGGAAGTGACATAAAGTAAAAAGAATCTATTTTCAGTTAACCAAGCTGCTAAAAAAAGTTTTATGCAGCTTGTATTTTCAGTCCCTGTTTCAAACATTGGACTTGTTTATTATAATAGGCATTGCAACTTAGTCCTCAGTAGTGATAACACATCTCTAGCTTTCTTTGTATAAATTGGTTGCAGGTGTCCATGGACTGCACTAGCTACTTATCATCAGGTTTGGGCTGTAAGTTTGGGTTTCACTTCAGTTTAAAAATAAATATTATAATAATATATTTTTTTTAAAATGTTACCCCCACACTAGGAATTTCTCCTGTATCATGGAGGCAGTTTACAAACACAAATTGCACAAGGACAAACATCCAGACCCGGAACAGTTATTTGTAGGCCATACAAATACTTGTTCCGTGCGGGATTCGAACCCGCGGCCCCCAGTGCAGCAACTCATTGCTAAGCCACGGAGCCGTCAATATTTTAGAATAAAGATCATAGAATGATCTCTTATATTCATGCAAACATTTCGCATTGAACAAAACTACTTTTACGGATCAGGGGAGACACCTGTGACCATAGGTGCTGCAAAGAACCTGAAACGTCGGGAATTAAAAATAATTAGAATTAAACGCGATAAAATCCGTAAAAGTAGTTAAACAACATAACAAACAAAAAAGTTATTCAAAGCTGTTGCTAGTTTATTCAAAGAAGAAAAGATTAAAGAGGCTGCATACAGGACAGTCTCAGCATGTGCACGGGACGGAGACAGAATGCGGTTGTATGTCAACATGGACGGGAGTTTAATGCATATGCACCGTGATAGTGACTCGAAAGTAACATGCTGGTGTTGTGAAAGACGGATTTTTCGTTTGAAGAATTGGCATTAACTGCTATTGCTTTAAATGATGAAGAAGCTAGAACTGTTAAGAGTAAAAGCAGGTTTTCTGTACATCCTACGTGGCAGAAAAGCGAACAAGAAGGTGAATACCACACTACAAAGAACTTTTGGATGATGAGACTCAAATTTTTTTATATGTATTTTCGTATGACAAAAGAATGTTTTGCTTTACTGGAAAACAAGCTAAGTCTTCACTTACATAAGAAGGACACTTATGAAAAGAGCCATCACACCCCATGCCATCACAACCATCACGATTGGCTGTATGTTTAAGGTAATAAATAATAAACACTTTATTTAACATATTTATTTAAATTTTTGGCTTATTAATTCTTTGTACTATTATACTCTCTGAGATTATACTGCGAGAAATAAGATTGTATTGACTCTGTTGTCTTTGGGTGTTCAGAAGACGGCGAAGGAGATGATAAAATGTCTGGCATTGATGAAGATGAAGGCGAAGGAGAAGACATTATAATAGGAGTAGATGGAGACGATCAAAATTAATTTTCAGTCAATTGTTGGAGCTCCCAATCATGAAGGACTTTAAAAATTTGGCCTATAGCTATATGCTAATAATAAGGAATAAATGATTTCAATGTTGGTGCTAGTCCCTTCAAAAATGCGTCCATAGGAGGTTCCTCTACTTCTCTTTCTTTAATTTTGTTTCTATTATTCATAAGAACATACTTCATTAAGGTACTTGAAGCAGATTCAGAATTGGGGCCAGACATCTTTGTTTTCAAACGCTTAGTCGTCTTGAGTTGCTGATAATGGTTGGTCTCGTGGAGACTCAGCTTGTTCATTTGTAGCTGAAGATGTTGCTGGTGACATTGGCAATGGACTAACTACAACATCATCGTGGTCCTGCAAATTTAACTGCTGATTTATGTCAATTGAATCGTTGCTCAAAGACTGTATCTCAGATGATGGAGAAAGTATTGTTTCACTGAGTTGTACAAAATTTCTTATAGAATCTCTATCTTTGTCAACACCCTTGAGAAATTGAAGTTGTTCAGAAAACTTATACAGTTTGGTCTTCTTTGCAGCTTGGCCAGTAACAGTTTTTTGACTTTTTATATATTTTTTTTGTACTGGTCTCTTATATTTGTCTATCTTTGTTTGCAGGAGACCCAGACCCAATCTAAAAAATTAAAAAACATATTTATTAACAATAAAGTTTAAGTTTTTTTTTTAATATTTTGATTATTGGCCACTGGTGACTCACATATGACAATTTCATTTAGCTACCGTTTAGGTCATATTCTATACAAATAAATAAAATTGAAGTGTCTGTTTGTAATGTCAAAATTTTTTACTAAATGCATATGAAAGAATATACGATACTAATAACAAAAATACAATTTTTAAAGTTTTTGTCAATCTGTCTGTTTGTTCCGGCTAATCTTCGAAACGGCTGGACCGATTTTAACGGGATTTTCACTGGCAGATAGCTGACGTCACAAGGAGTAACTTAGGGTACTTTTATTTTAGAAAAAGAATTAGGGTTCCGCGCAAAAAAATGAAAACCCCAAATAACACGCGGACGAAGTCGCGAGGAACAGCTAGTTCAGTTAATTAAATTGTCAAAGAGACATGCAAAATTATTGTTGACCAATTAATGAGTGAGGCATTACCCGAGATGACTACGGAAATGTGGAAAGCGGTTGCTGAAGACTTCTGGCTACTGTGTAAATTCCTAAATTGCTTAGGAGCACTGGACGGTAAAAATGTAGTTATTGAAGCGCCACCCAACAGTGGATCTTTATTTTTTAATTATAAGTCGACATTTTCTATTATTTTGTTGGCTCTAGTAGATGCAAAATTCATTTTTAGTTACATAAATGTAGATGCTTAGGGAAAAATTCATAACGCAGGAATTTTTATGACGTCTTCGCTAGGGCAATGTTTAAAGAATGGTACTCTTCAAAACAGAGCTATACCCAGTACAAACATTGTTGCCCCTTATGTCATCGTAGGCTGCCTTTCCACTAAAAACGTTTCCACGTTACGTCCGTATCCATGTAACAGTGGAAACCGCGAATTTGAAGTCCAGCTATCGCTTAGGTCTTGCTCGTCGCTGCGTAGGAAATACTTTCGGTATTGTTACTCAGAAATTTAGAATTTACCAAGGAAGAATAAAAATGAATCCAGAATCGGTAGATAATATAATACTAACAACATGTATATTGCTTTAAAACAGAATTGATCTATAAAAATTGTCATTAAAACATCAACAGTGTACATACATTTAAGGTACAGGAAAACACGGTTTCTCTTATTTGATATTATAGTTTTTTAAAGCAAGGTCTTTGCCCAAAGGTTCAACCCAAAATATTTTAGTAGACCAAAAATATATTTTTATTTTTTCAGGCATGTATTCATTTAATCATTACATGCCTGTCGTAAATCAGTACTTAAAATTGTAATTAATTGCATCATTCAATCAAGTTAATATAATTTCAACTACAACAACTTGGTTTCCAGGTGTACTTTGATATTTTTAAGTGAGAACTATCTCTTGGGCTGTAATATATAAAATATTAATATTTCTGGGTTTCTTGCTGGTTCTTTCCAGAACAGAGGTATTTTTCGAACCAGTGGTAAATAAAAAAATGACTTTCAATAAGCATTATGTAATAATCAATATTGAATAAAAATCATTCTATTCTATTATGTATGGTAAATAAAATAATTTTTAACTAATTATAAATATATTACTCTTACAACATATACATATTGTATATAACATAGTACAATGAAATAAAATATATTGATACATTCACTTAAGCTCAGCCGGCATTTCTGACTCATTCAGGGCCGCCAAAATATTGTTAGCTGTTAGTTCACTCATTGTATTTCTTGCTTCTATGGAAGCACTGCCTATATGAGGTAGCACCACACAATTCTTAAGTTTAAACAATGGACTGTCTAAGGGCAAAGGCTCTGGTGTTGTCACATCCAAGCCTGCTGCTCTGATAGTGTTATTTTGTAATGCTTCAATCAATGCACTTTGGTCCACAGTCCCACCACGGCTTGTATTTATGAATATGGCAGTTCTTTTCATTTTCTCAAATGCTGCCTTATTAAACAGTTCTTTAGTATCTGGCACTAATGCACAGCAACATATGACAAAGTCACTTTGTGTGAGCAACTCATCAAAGGTAACTTTGATTGCACCAGTTTCTTTTGCCTCTGTTTTCTCACTGCGGTTATAATAAAGTATTCTCTTAGTGTTAAAGGACTTCACTCTTCTAGCCACTGCTTGACCTATTCTACCAAATCCAACAATTCCGACTGTGGAACCCGCAAGCCCTGGCCCTGTCATCCAAGTTGGTGCCCAAGAAACCCAACCACCAGTTTTTGCTTCATGTTGGGCTTCTGGTAGACGCCTTGAGGTTGATAAGAGGAGAGCCAGCTGTGAAAATATAAATTTTTTGGTATTTGCTGTTTTTTTAATATTATTTGTTGGGTACAAGTCATGAGGTTATGAGATAAAGGAACAACCTGGTAAGACATACAGGAAATAATGTTTTATGGTGTCCCTAGAGAGATATCTATATTCAGCAGTTCACTTGTGAAGGGCTGTAATGATGATGATGATGATGGTGTGATGGCAGCCTTATATGAAAAATTCTTGTAGAATCTCATAAACTCTGTAACATTTATTGTGTGTTTTATTTTGTTAGGTGTAACATAATGACGGGAGTTTCCAGAGTGGACTTTTTATGGGGTGATAAAGAAATGTAATGATCTCTATCTCCTGTTTTTGTTTCCCTCTGTTGCCTCTTTTGACACC